TCTAGCAAACAATGGAGCGGACCAAATTCCTAGTTGCCTCGAAGTTGTGGCTGTGAGCCACAACTTGTCATTGGTGAGCATTTTCGTGAAAAGTAGTACGAAGTAAGCCAGTATGAGTTCAAATCACGACGGAGACGGGGATCGTGAATGCCTGAAGCGGCATTCGTAGGCACACATTACGGGATCTCAACCATATGGAGGCTGGAACATGGAGAACGATGTATTCGCCGTAAGTGCAGTAGTTCGAAGACATCCGTCTCCCACCTTATACACGTGACTGGAACTTAAGGTGTTTGGTAAACTGTGGCCTGAGCGATCGGAAACTGTTACGCTCTGTGAGGCTACCCGATATTAGCCTGCTTTGTGGGCAAATTCACCCGCAGAGTGTACATGCAATGTGCGAAGGGAGGCACATACCCGTTGTTGTAATGTGTCCAAGTACTCTAGTTAGTCTGCGAATGTCTGTCATGTGTTCTAGGCTATGACAGGCGCGGTAGATATCCAGTAACAAGGCCTCGCGTTTCAGGAGGTTTCCAAATACGGAGTCACACAACTTCTGATTGTGAAGGGACAAGTCGTACAGGACTTCAAGGGTGTCGTTGCAGTTAACCTCTGCAAGCAAAGAGGCGGCCGGCAAATCTTCCACATGTATCGCGAGATCTATGTTGGCGGCCTTGTTGGCAAAAATTTTTGTCTGCATTCTTTCCAATTGCCTGGCTGCGCGCTTGGGTAGATGACCTCTCTCAGCGGCCCAATGTGGATTCCGCAAAGGTCTTAGAGCAACCACTATTATCGTTACAATAGGAAAATTGCAGAAAGGGTGCGAGAAAATTAGGACGGTTCCTTACAAGCCTCCGTATATGTCTAAAGCCGTCTTACATACGGAACTGAGTGGGCCCTCGAGAACCATTATGAAGTTTAGATGTCCGGACATCCCAACGCCTCACGGCAGTAGTAATAAATATTTCACCCTCCAGTAGCATGTCAAAGAAAGAATAAACCGTAAACGGGAGGAGTTTGTGTTTAATGAATACTCGAAGATTTCGGCTATACATATTTGGAGACTGGAGTGACCTGTGGACGGTCCTCATTATGTCATACGGGTTCCATGCGTCCCCTACGTAGATCGCCAGTGCTAAGCGAATCCCCGCCCCACCGCGTTCTGCGTTGTCTCTGCTCTTGGTGTCCGCGGTGGAAATTGGTGTGAAGGAAATGATGACTGACTCTCGTCCCTCATATGCCCTCGTCTGCCGCCGACTGAATGAGCAAATTGGGATCACAGTCTGCAGGAAACCGAACAAAAAGTTGGTAGTACAACAGTAACCACCCGCTGCAACATAATCAAAGCTGCGTACATGTGCTTTATCTGCGGGTGGATACTCGTTGTGGCATTCACTGAAAATCCCCAAGGTCGGGATAGACAACCTTCCCCCGGACGGCGAGTACGCAGTAAATACCACAGCCGGAGGCGACGCGCAACGACACCTAGACCTCTCAAATTCGGACGCAGCCAGCCCTATGTCAGCTAGGCTAACATCCGCCGGCAGTCATCGGGAAATAATATACTACATCCTCGGCGATTGCAGCTGCCTCACTGTCATGGAAAAACTTTCCCCTCATGAATCGACAAAATCAGCAAAGAAATTCCAATTCAGATCTCCAAAGGTGGCAAGGCAATTAGCTGGCCTTAAGCATCCCTGTGAACTCGCGGAAAATTCACCTGAGCAGCAAACTGGAGTGTGCATTGACAATGCTTCTGTAGCGCGTGGAGACTTGGAGCGCAGAAGCTAAGTCACTTTCACTGAGGCTCTCCTCAGAGCTGTCTCAGAATTAGCTGTCCTAGGCAGCCCGCGCATAGAATCGCAGGCATAACGGGCCGCAGCAATCCTTGAGGCGGGTCGTATAAGGAAGTCGCGCCACCTCCCAAAAGTCCATATTACCAAAACAAACCCAAGGCTGGTATCGTGGCGTTAATCGTAATGTTGCCAACAAAATAGTCGGCAGCATGCAGAGAAACATCGCAAACGCTGACCGATCGCTCATACCCGTCCAGATTATGTACTTAGAGAGCCACAATGACCCTAGTCAGACATCTCCGCATCCACCCCAAACCCACCTCTCGGACCAACTCCCGAGCTCATGCGACCTGAGACCAGAACTAAATCCACCAATGGGTTCACCGCACCGATGCCGCTCCCCTCTGAAACGTCAGTAATTCCAGTGTGGGGTCGAACGGATGGGGCGATCGATGTAGTAGTCGCGAAACCTGGGGTACGCGCATGTTACTCCCCCCTATCACTCTTCATTTCGCTATCTGCCACAACCACACTCCTGTGTCTGTTCGACGCCCAGCTGGACAGTACACCCACCTAACATAAGCAAAAATACCACTAAAATCCAGTCCCCACTCTACTTAGGTCTGACAAAAACCTATTCAAACAACTTCACAGTTCCCACTAGCATTATTTGTCACTCATATCCAAAACCCCAGGCTTAATCAGGTGAAGACAACCATCGTCTGCTATGAGTGATTTATCATCAATCAGTTGCCCTCGAATCAACAGGCAAACCTGGTGCTCATTGGTCTGTATGATAAAACAATGTAATCCTCATCATAACAGGGTGTTTATTTCCAGCAGCTGTCTGACTGGCTGTGGTGTTCATAACCGCCCCTAAGGCACTGCGTGCATTAAGACCTCTTCGAGAAGAAGCTGGCAGCGCACTGAAGCTGAACGGAGCAAAGTTCCCGGACTGGTTGATCTCCCATCGGTAACGTGTATAAGTACTGAGATCACTTAACCGTGACTTACTCAGCTACTTCAGCCTATTGGTCCTAACATTGCGGCAGTTTTATGGCGCGAACCTGCCGGCTTATTGCATTGACACAAGACGTTTTTTATCAGTGAGCCAAACACGCCTGTTAGACTTAAAACAACGAAGTTCTACCCGCGCCGCCATACTTTCCCTCATGCGTTCTGCCTCCTCCACCTGACATGAACAGTCCTGGGGGTATTCATTCTTCTCGTTTGAGGATAGGCCCGTGTGTATACCACAGTGGCTGACGCGTACAGGTGTTGGCATGGGTGGAGGGAGGGCCCTCAGAACTGCGTCTGGATTCGATGGATGGAGACTGTTCAGTGACATCAATTTTGATTCATGACATGATGCCCGCAATCGCATTCTCGCTACTGTGGCAG